TCCCCTCCAACCTGCCCCATGAAGCAACCCAAGATACCAAGTTCCGAGGATATGTCATTCCCAAGGTGAGGCATGAACCAGAGAGCCCTTCATGGGCATTGTCCTGTTAGTTTATCACCTAAGTTGCCCTTCAGGACTGGAACTCAAGGACACCTTTACCACCTTTACCAGTGGCTGCAATGTAGGAATCAAGTCAGTATTCTTACCCTGCAGAACACTTCACCCACAGTCACCTTAATAACCCTGTGAACCAAAAAATGAAGGGAATCGTGGAAAAATGTCTCTTTCTACTGATCCATAGGACTTGTAGAACATTATAACACAGATCCCATGGCATCACTAACCCAACCTGGGATGCACACTATGGCCTTCCTCTTCACTTATATGTGATCCCTAGCTCTTTTCTATGTAATCCTTAAATAGAGAACACTTCAAATAAAAATATACTGTCCTACATAATTAACATTCCAACAGCCCTCTTCACAAGGGTCTTCCAGATGAAAGCCTATGTTTTCTTAACTTGACTAATAGGAACTTCTACTTCTTCCAGGGTACAGTTGTGATTCCAACTCTGGACTCCCTTCTATACGACAGCCAAGAATTTCCAGATCCAGAGAAGTTTAATCCTGAGCATTTTCTGAATGAAAATGGGAAGTTCAAGTACAGTGACTATTTCAAGCCATTTTCTGCAGGTAAGCAGAGTTCTGGGGTCAAACCATCCCTGGGAAATTGTCTTCTCCAATCCTATGCCTACTTCCCATGTGCTCTTCACCTATCCTAGATGACGACTGCCGTCCCTACCTCCCATGCCCTTGTAACACATAACACAAGTATGTTCCTCTCTGTTCAGAGAAGTCAGATGTCATATTTCACCAGAAGTCCTGGAAATGAGGACTGGGTTGATTATTTTATCACAGAGTGGACATTTTCTAGTTAGACTGTTAAATTGTTAAGCTGTCTCTACTTTAACCAGATGCTATAAAAAGCTCTCAAAACTATATTACCTAATTCTTCATAAGTTTCCAAAAAATTGCTAATTTGTTCTTTAGCTGCCTGGACTCTTTTTAGCAAGCATCTGGACCTTCCAGGTGGTCCCATCTCAGAGCCTCACCAAGGGTTCCAGTAAAGGGAGAGTCGCAGTCAGTTTGATAACTTTAACCACCTATGTTTGCATAGGCTTCCCTGTTCCACCTTCCTGTAGTTATGACAGAGAAGCTTTGGGTCCACTTCCCTACAATACCACATGCTTATGCAGCAGAGTTCTGAATGAGTGGTGTCAAAAGTTGGCCCAAGTCAACATCAATGACACTCTTGTTCTCTGACATATGACCACTGATGTTCAGGGACCAATGGGCAGCGTCAGGAAATCCTTTCAGGTGGTTTCCCTGAAGCCTTCTGCCACACTTCCAATACCTCAATGTTAGAAGTGTAAGCTCTACAAGGATCCCTCCGTACCTCACCATCACTGTTGTTACTTCTAGGAAAACGTGTGTGTACTGGAGAAGGCCTGGCTCGCATGGAATTGTTTCTGCTCTTGTCTGCTATTCTGCAGCACTTTAATCTGAAGTCTCTGGTTGACCCAAAGGACATCGACCTCAATCCTGTCACAGTTGGCTTTGGCAATGTCCCACCTGAATATAAACTTTGTGTCATTCCCCGCTCATGAGACCTGGTAACTGCCTGTCTCAAGTGAAAAGTCAACAGAGATGCCCATTATTATCCCTTAAAATGTAACTATATAGAGAGTTCCTATCATAAAATGGAAAAAATAAATAAAATCTTGATGAATTGTATATTAGTTGTGGACTTAGTGAGAACCTTGTCCCCTTGGCTATGTAAAAGTTCCCCAGTGGGTGAATACTATTCCATAGCCAACAGTGTAAGATCTTCCAATCTGTCTATCCCTGACTTCTCTTGAGTATTTGTTTGGATATGTGGGATGATCCTGGTTATCTACCCATCACAAAACCCCAAATTTAACCGTATATTCAAAGTTCTCTTACCATATAAAGTAACATATTCATAGGTTCTTGGGATTATAATATAGATACTTTAGACTGGTCCCTCTTTCCAACTCAACTATTTGGGTGCACTACTGAAATCCAAAGCTAACAGACACAACAGTGGCCCCACTGAAGGTACTTGAATCGCCATGACTCCACAAAGGCAAGACTGCTTCCAGAAAAAAATGGAAAGAAAAGTGTAATTATAAAATGTGCTTTGGGGCAGAGAGGTTTCAACTTAAGGATTGCTATTAGGGAAATTCTGAAGGGACAGGGAAAAGATAGGGTGTGTGTAGCTCTAAGGGCCATTAACTAATTGTAGCATCATCTGGCCTCTGCCTGAGGTTGACACCTGATCAGCAGAGCCACTAACTATATTCACTTAGTGGTGAAGCTTGGAGAAT